AACGTTTCTAATTTTGCTTTGTTCTCTAATGTAATTTAAAAAGGAAAAAAGTAGAAAAAAGTAAAATAACAAAAATTAAATAAAAAAGTAAAAGACAAAAGAAAAAGAAAGGAAAAAGGAAAAGAAAAAAGAAGAAAAATAAAAAGAAAAGAGAAAAAATAGAAAAAGAAAAAGGAAAAAGAAAAAGAGAAAAAGAAAAACAATGGAAAAGGGAAATTAAAAAGCAAAAAAATACTAAAAATGGAGAAGAAAAAGAGAAAAATGAAAAGCAAAAAATTAAAAAATTGAGGCAAATATATGTTTGATCGGTTCTAAATTTTGTTTAGGAGTTTATTCCCTTTAGAAATTTAGAACTATTTTATATTATTTAATCACTTTGATAGTTACTACTGATAGTTTACGTCTCAGTTCTTAATTGGTTTTTTTTGTGATCATAATCTTACCAATTATATATTAAGAATTAACAGTGAAGATTATTATATTAAATGTTTCTTTTGGTTTTTATAGGTACAGTTACAAGGTTTTTGTAATTATTAGTTATTATTTTGGCAAGTTATTTTTTTCAGTCATTAACTATTTTATTAGTGCTATTTTTTGCAAATCTTTATTCTCTTTGTTCCTTAATTATCATTTGATTTATAGTTGTTAGGCTTAAGAAGTTCGAACTAGGGTAATCATAGGTTAGTAATTTATAGCTTTTTAGGGATTACTTTCACATTTGGTATAAGATTCTATTAATTTTCAATAGTAATTTACTGGTTGTATTTTATGCTGCATTCGTAGCAGCTCATTTGTTGATGCAATGTTTTTTAATTTTCAATTTTCAATTAATGCTTTGTAAATTTAACAACCCGATTTATAACTATCGTTTTTAATGCAAATGGATTTCTCGACGCCATCATGAGGCAATATATCCTGTAAAACATCTGTTTTTAATGTTGTAGGACCTCTAATATGTTTTATAAAATTTGTATTACGAATGCTTTCCTGATTTTGTTTTTAAAACTAATTTTAGCAGTCATTATGTTTGATCATTTTTAATTATTGCAGCTGTAAAGATAATTTGAAAAATTTTCATCCATTTCAATGTACAGTTTATAAATGTTGATCGTTGGTCAGATTTTTTATTTCTCCATGTTAGGTTGATTTTATATTTTAAGATTTTTTTTTTTGCGGATTCTTATTTCCTTTTTATTTACCAATCAGTGTTTGTTTTTATATCAAATGGCTTTTATGTTTTCACTTCTTCATAATAATGCATTTGATATGAGATATGGATAATACTGATGACAACACTTTCTTTTTATTTATCAATCAGTGCCTTTTATTTTATTTATCAATCAGTGTTGTCCTTTTAATCAATCAGTGTTGATACGAGATATGGATAATACTGATGGCGACATTTTTTTGTG